AGAAAGTAAGAATTGCCCTAGTTTGGAAGAGAAGGGTTAAGACTGATAATACAGCAGAAGTAACATTTCACACCTAATGCAGAAGTTTCTCTTTCGCACAAGGGCAGCCAGGGTCTGTGATGATTCACATCCTTTAAAAATTTATCTAAGTCCTGGCAGAACTGTGTTTTCTATCTTCCTCCAAATCTGAGAAAGTCCAAGTAATAAAACAACAATTCTACCATGGCTGCAGTTTATAATTTTCAAATAAATGTTTAAAAATTTTTTTAACTAGGATTGTTTTCACATTTTCTTCTTAAAATCATACAGACATGTATGTTTGTATTTCTGCTCAGGTTGAGTAACATACAACTTAAAAACACTTGAACACAGTAAGTGTAACTCTTCTTCATGCATTTCTATCAAGGTCCATAGTAGGATGAATTTACTTGCCAGCTTGGTAATTAATACAGATATTACAGTGATGGATGATGCTATTAATGTAGCTTAAGGACTGCTTAAATTAAGAAATACACACTTCCTGTTTGACAAAAACAGGATGACACAGTTCTCCATATGCCTTTTTTCTGTTTGACCATTAGACTTTAATTTTGCATTACTGGGCAGAATAATAGCAGGCTATTTGTACACTATTATTGGCGTAAACAAATTGGGAATGTTCAAATATTCCACAGAAATAGCTACTGCATATATACAGACCAGATCAGCAGCACACACAGGAAAATCTAAAAGTCGAGAACTTAGCACATGTTCATGTCATTTGCTGTACTCAGCATGTGCTGCAGAAATGGCCTGTGCATTCACACTGAAATGTAATGTGGGCAGGATGCATCAAGCTGAGTATACATGCACAAGCCATGTTCAAAGCACTTATGCATGTATTTCTGCCTGGGAATTACCACGCAAGAGCACAGGATCCCTAAGCAATAGCTCCTCTGAAGATTACACACTAGGTTTATAGTTTATTGAAAAGGAGAATTTTATGAATTAGTATGACTGTATTGAAACAGTGTGAAGTATGTTGTCATTATACTTTAATTTTTCAAATACACAAATCTTCACCTAAATTTACTCCAAAACTGAAAATGTAAGCCCAGTAATTTCCCCTCCACCCCTCCCCTCCATGCATTTCAGGTATTGTTGTACAAACTTACAACATACTGGTTAAACAAACAAACCAAATACTATGAATAATGATTCAATACATAATGTTTGTTGGAGTCATCATAATTCTTTGAGTAAATATCAGAATGGAAAGGAAAAGAAAAAAAAATTAGAAATATCTGGCCTCTTGTGTCTTTTCAGTGAGTTTCACCAAACACTTGGCGAAACAACCATTCTCGAATGCTTTACAGATGCTCCATTAACACTAGAAGCTCGAGACACACTGAGAATGAAATGAAGGTCAAATATTGTGAATCACCATTCCCCATCACTGACAGAGTAAAGGATTACTGTCAGCAACCACAAAGCGAGCACAGCCTTGGAAGAGACAATTTGTGAGCAGTGTGCTGAAAAGGTTTGACTGCCATCTACAGACAATAGCAAGTAGTGCATTGGTAGCAATTGGGGAAAAAAAAAAAACCAAACACCACCAAACCAAGACAAACCAAAAAAAAAAAAAACCAACCCTACAAGCCTAATAAACATCCAGCGTAGATATGAGAGGAAAACTAAATATTCATGTACGTACAGAATACTGTAAATAACCTGAAAAGCTTCTTAGGAGTTTTTGTTCTAGTAAAAATATAACTGTACACAGAAACACTAGCTTCCTTCATTCTCTGGAGTGGTTTAAAATCTAATAGGTATGAATCCAGGGTCTGCTGTTGCCTAAATATTACTAGATAAAAAAGAAAAGTACTAGTATTTTCCCTGTATTTAAACTATGGATTGTAAAGCACTGATTTTCATGTAATATGTTCTCAATTTAAACAGTCTTCGGTAACTCCTCTCACAGTCATTGGTTAGCAAACCGGCAAAACTTTTAATCGTGTTGTTAATATCTAATCACACATACATCATCCGGATACTTGTAGGTGAGTATAGCTGTAAAAACATCTTGTATTTAGGGATTTCTGTTAAACTTAGAGCTCCTAATCAGGTTAGTTCTCTCTAGGCAGAACATACGCCAACATATCACACCACCAGTAACTGTATAAAGATTTCCCTTCAGCTGTTCAGAACAGTTAGCACAATAGGTCAGTTCACTCTTGTCAAACATATCCTTTCTCTTTTCTCTCTGCCTTAAAGCCACTTTCTTTGCTTCAACAGCTGCTGTCAAACTGTCTTTACTTCCTCTCCAAGGTAGCTAACTGGCCAAGCAGTCACCCTGCTGAAATCCCCTTACAGAAGTTTTGTTCTGAACTTCCAGAATAATTGCATGTCAAAAAGAAAAGAAATCAGGAAAGCCAAGGATTTTGGGGTTTAAGGATGAATAACAGAAGGACTTAGAACCATTCTAAATAATGTCTCTGTAATCAGACTGAATTACTGTATTTACACACCACATGGAACTGTTCTCAAGAATTACTCTGCACGGATCAGTATTTCACATAAAAGTTTAAAAGCGGTGTATTTAAACAAAAAAAACAACTGTCAGAAAGAAAACCCTGTAGGCCCAAGCTGACATTAACTTTCTCATTTCCAAAGTCCTTCAACAGCCAGAACTGAGCGCAGTGTTCCAGTAGCCAGATATCTGACTTCTCAGTATTACTTTTGGACGTGAAGAAGGAATGGCAATAATGTCATTTTTATGCTTTTATGCCTTAGCAGAAAATCCTTTCTATCTTGATCTGTTACCTTCTGCAATCCTTTCCTGCATGAACGATTCCCACTTTTCTCCACCCATGGAAGTATGTGCCTTTAGAGAGTCTTTCCTTACGTGTAGTTCTACTAATTCTCAAAATTTATTCTACTTATGAGGATAAAGATTGAAAAACAAGGACAGTCAAACCCTCCTTTCATGCTTAAAATGCTTACTAGAGAGCAACGTAAAAATGAGAGAAGCTGCCTTTACGTCAGGACATTGAGTGCACTAATAAACCTTAATAGTCCAGACCAGCCCCAGCTGGAGTCTCCACCTACGCTCTCTGCTCCTAGGCCCAGCGGCTCTATTTAAGCTCGGTCCCAGGGCATCTGGCTCACTCCGAGCTGGTGTCCAGCCGTGCCCTTGCCCCTGCCTGTGCTCCTGCCCAGTCTTGAGAAGAAACCTATGCGATTACAACACTTATATTGGAAAACTGGAACTGTCAGATGATAAGAACTGCTAGCCATACTACTGACAGAATGCTTGCACATCAGTATGTGAAAATTTGAGTGATATGTTTATAAGATTTAAATAAAGCTGACATTTAATATAAAATGCAGCAACTTTTAATTTTAGTTCCAATTTAGGCCAAGCTTTAAAAATGCCTTTGTTTAAACTTTTCTGTATGTGTTTTGGAGATAAGTTGACTTGAACTACATTCAAGAAAATTGAATTTCACTTCAGTGTGCCATTCAAGTGAAATATTTCCTATAGCTCTATCTGCTCTAGCTATACATTCTTTGGCAAGTGACAGCATGATGTTTAGTTTACAGAAAAGCAGGTGCAGCACTGGTCTGAGAATGGAGAAACAGGAGGTTAGCAGCTTGATAAGACCTGGAATGACAATTCTATTGGTAAATTGGGGAAACCATGTTCACAGTATCTTCAGAAATAAACAATCAATGCTCAGACTGAGGACCATCTGTATTCCAAAGTTACTATGAAGTGCTGTGCAAATACAGATCCCAGATTTGGAGTAGTTAGTGAATGCAGCTAAGTAACTAAAGATTATAATGGTATCTTTACAGGTTGTCCAGAGAAGCTGTGGATGCCCCATCCCTGGAAGTGTTCAAGGCCAGGCTGGATGAGGCTTTGAGCAACCTGGTCTAGTGGAAGGTGTCCCTGCCCATGGTGAGGGGGTTGGAACTAGATGGTCTTTAAGGTCCCTTCCAACCCAAACCATTCTGTGATTCTATGATCTTATGAAATAAGAGGACCAAAGCTCAGAACCAAGGCAAGACATAGAAATAATGCTTCAAAGTGCAATAAAATCCAATTTGCAATACTATTTCATAGAATCATAGAATGGTTTGGGTTGGAAGGGATCCTAAAGATCATCTAGTTCCAACTCCCCTGCCATGGGCAGGGACACCTTCCGTTAGTCCAGGTTGTAGAGATGATAGAAATTGAGATAACAGAGATAGTACCTTCCTGTTAATATCCTTACATTCTCTCAAAATCCTTGCATTCTGCATTTGTATTTCAACATCCTTATTGCATAAAAAATACATATAAAATCTCCTTCTTAAGGAATCTATCCATAAAGTAAGACACTTGAAGTTATTCATAGCTTTCCATTTCACCACATGCACCAAAGCTGAAGTTATAATATTTTATAGGACAGAGAGACATAGTCTTCTTTTACATGCTCCTTCAGTTTGCTGGCATTTCATTACCTACTATTTGAACCAGTATGAGAGAACCAGGAAGACCTCCTACAATTGATAATCTTTCATTATTTAAATTTTTTGTTACTGTACCTTCCTACAAAAACTAGAATGCAAAATAACTTTCAGCATCTACTGCTCAAAATAAACCTTTACCATAAAATTTATGATTACTGAAATTAATCTATTTAATAAATAATTATGTTAATGATGGCACTCTTTTGTCTCAATTATATATCCTGTCATCAAAACATTTATTATTATTCCACATACAGGACTGTCTTTTCACATGCCTACATCATCAATATGTTTTCTCTATTTTCAGAAAATGTATAATTTCAATTGAACTCCCAACATAGGTTATGAATACTGGATTAATTATAAGTATCACGTGTTGAAATATTACATTTCCTGAAACGTTTACAATGTGGAAACGTAAAGGACGTCTGTTCAGACAAGGCCATGAAAGCGAGGAAAAGGAAAATAAATACCTACTTAATCTACATTTCAGCCTTTTTTCTTACCTGAGTACCCAGACAAGCAACCATCATGTGAGTGAGAAGTTTAGCTGCAAACATTGCACACCTGGTGCAGAAAAGATGGGAGATAATAGCCAAAGTGAAACCTATGGAGAAAAAACAAACAAACAACAAAAAGACAAAACAAAACAAATAAACAAAAAACCAGGGTAAATTTAAACCTAATTAACTATGCCAGATAAGAACATCGATGCTGGATCTCTTGAAGGTACAGACCATTAAAAAAAAAACCAAACTCACAGAAAGAATTATGTTCACTGCTGTTCACACTGAGATCACTAATGAATGTACTAATGAAGCAGTAACATCTGTTTAATTTTTTCATAGGCTTGAGCTACAGCAATTGCATAATGTAATCCAGTCATTTTTGCAAAGTTTACTTTTTAATTTCTGGGTGATGTGGATGATTGTCTTAATAGTTAAATATGAAGGAAAGGCTTAAGTCTTCAGTATTCATAATACTATATCCAAAAATGCTTATAGAAAAAAATAAATAAAAAAATGCCTCTAGCTGGGTAGCACTGCTTCAGGAGATAGTATAACCTTCTAAATACCAGTCTCCCATTTCGTCTGTGTTCAGCATAAAAATCTATCATAGCAGTACTCAGAAAGAGTATCATGAGGAGGTAGAGAAATGGGGAGGAAATCTGAGCCTGGGGAGAAGGCATGGGTGGGGATAGGTGTTTTAAAGATTTGGTTTTATTTCTCACTACTCTGCTTTGACTTCTAATTGTCATTGAATGAAATTAATTTCCCCAGCTGAGCCTGTTTTGCCCATGATGGTAACTGGTGAGTGATCCCTCCCTGTCCTTATCTCAACCCATGAGCCCTTCCTTGTATTTTCCTCCCCCTCCTGCCCAGCTGAGGAGAGGACTGATGGAGTGACTTTGGGGGGCACCTGGCCTGCAGCCAGGGTCAACCAACCACAGTCCCTTACCTAGGAGTAAGCAGTTTTAGGACCCTAGGAAAGCTGAGCCACTAAGGAAAACACTTCCAAAGCTGGTGTATAGCAGGTCTTTTATTCCTCTTGAGAACTGATTGGTTGCTCAACTGCAAGTATTTGTAAGGTATAAATGAAATAAATCACTGTAGAAAGAATTACTTCTAAACCTTTTAAAAAAGTAGCTAAAAAACTTAGATAATGATACAAATATCTACATAAGAAAACTTTGGAAACAATAATATTGTATTTCATTTAACTGTGATTTTTTTTCTTTCTTTTTTTCCCTTTATATTCTTCACACTTCAGTGAAGATGTGAGAGAAATAAATAATATCCTTATAGCTCTTAAATATAAAGCAATTTGTCAGGCACTAGATTTAGATATATATAATGAAGTAAGGAAACACCTTCAACCAGCCAAAGGCATTGCAGTTATATCTTGAATGCTACTGCAAACCCTTAACCAGGCTAAAGTGTTTTAACTTTTAATTTTTAAATTACATTCTTAGGACACATGACTACAATAAATGACTAGTGCTGAACAAGGGTCTGTAGAACTTTATTAATTCCAGTTCTACAAAGTATTTCTCTCAGATTCAGATTTTACAGCATATTGTCTTACTTTGTGATGTTCTTTTCAACAGTTTCTATAGCATTTGCATTCTTTGGCATATCTGTCTCATCAATATTTTTTTAATGCAAGCCAGTAATGGTGTCTGTTTATAATAATGGGTTTTTTTACTTCCACTAACACAATCTAAGTTAGAAGCTTAATTATTTGAAAATCTGCTTACTTCTGTCTTATAAAAATTTATTTCATTACTGTTAAATAAAACAATCCATTTGTGTGAAGCAGGTGAAAAATTGATGGTTTTTTCCTCTTTGCCTTCCATTTTCTCATGGCTCAGGTTTTATAACAATTAAGGAGACTAGCTTTATTCTGTTAGGGTGGTTTGCTGGGAGGGAATAAGACAGGGTTTGGCTGCTCAGACTGTTTTTTTTCTCATGCAGTGATGATCTAGAATGGAAGTCATAAACCCTACAAGGAGCAGACCCAGAACCCCATTTAATTGCCTTAAGGCTAGACAAAGAATCCCTTTAGCATGTTTTCTTAGTGACCCCATTATTCTCAAGTTGGTGCTTTTACAGTACCTATAAACAGAAAAAGAAAGTACCGTGTGAAAGGTGTAATTTCAACCTCCTTCAGAAGCCAAACAGAGTTAAAAATTTAGATTTCCTACATCCTGTCTCATGCTCTGGGAGTTCTGCAAATGCCACTGTAGCTGTCAATGAAGTGTCATGATCCTCACAGGTCAAACTCTTGGGCTACTCCCACGATGCTAGGTAGCAGTTGGGCAGCAGAGTGTAATGAAGCTCTATATCTGTGATACTGAATCTATCTCCCTCAAATTATCACTTCTGGGTGTAGATTGTCAAGTAAAACTGTCAAAGAGTTTTCAGACTAGGCAGAATAGTGTCTGAAAGACCTGACAAAAAGGGCAACTGTACTGCTGCTCTGCACACAAGAGAATTTATTATTTTATGTTTCTCCCCCAAAAAGAATGACCCCAATGAGGAGTCGGCCTAAACGATCTTTAAAGGTCCCTTCCAACCCAAACTATTCCACTATTCTATGTTTCTCTTTTTTATAGTTCAATACAAAATCACCAGGAAACACATTTAATTGATCTTGGCAAAATTTGCCAGTGCGCAAATACCAGTCCAGATGGCAACCTCAGTAGCATTAACTTTGCTCCAATATCTCTCCAATTAAAGATTGTCATCAGCTACTAAAATCTCTAAAACTCAAACAATCTTACTGGCCATCAGTTGCTATTAATGATAAAACTATCTTATATAAGCTGACCTGAAATGCAGATGAATCCTGAAGAGAAAAATGCTTCATTGTATGAAGACAAGTTATCTGTTTGAGCATAAACTGCATAGATGGACATATGAGAACAAGAACATTCCACGTAGTCTGATGTGTCATCAACCACTTTGCAGAACCCGCTGTCAGACAGCCAGCTGCAAAACAAAAGATTCACAAAGTTGGAAATGTACTTGTGTAATTTACATGGTAACAGGGTTGAGAATTGTTGTTGTATCTCTGAAACACAAAGTTTTCTAAACTACTGAATATATGTTCTTTGTAACTGGATATATGTTCAGCTGCAGTTCCCAGAACCGCACATTTACATGAAACTAAAATATTGTTTATAGCTTTGGTTTTTTTATTATTTAAAAATTTGTAAATATAATTAACATTTTTTTTCCAATAAAGATTTTTTTTGTGGTCATATTTATACAATTTCTCCAAGAATTACGGGTCTGCCTGACTTTTCAGATAGTTTGTTTCTTAACTTACTCAATATCTTACCTCATTATGGAGAACAATTAATTTTATACTGCTATTTGTGGTTTTGAAGCTAAAACTCATGTTTCGTTTTCTTTCAATATTGCTGAACTTATTTTGAAAAAAGATACTACAGGTGACATTCTGCTGCATCTCCTTTCTGAAGAGAAACAGTTTATATCAGTGACTGATATAATCCAGGCTAATGAAATCATATCTAAAGCAACAAGAACTCAGCAGGATACAGAACACAATTCTCTCCGAATTCATTTATGCAGTGTGAACAGGAGAGGCACAGGCTAATCACACAAAGGGGTGTTGAAGAGCATACAGAGGAAACTTTATCCCAAGGTTTGCAATTATATGAGTAGCAACATGAATGGAAAATGACCAGTTCACCATTTCTTCAAAAACCAGGAGACATGAACTTAAGCTTGTAGCAGCAATATTCAAAACAAATAGGAGATGGCTTTTCTCCCAAAAAGTAATAGCCCTATAGAGATCACTGTCAACAGATGAGCTACAATTCTGAATGGTGCAAGGAAAAACTGCCCAAGTTTGTGGCAGGCAGATCATTCAGCTCACAGTCACTGGATAGTATGTATTAGGGGAACTATTATTTATGCTTCTCCTTATCTTTTTCCTAGGCATTTACCTGTAGTCACTATTGGAGACAGGATACCGGTTTAGATAAATCCTTAGTCTGCCCCTTAAGAGTGGTTTTTTTGATTCACTTAACCAAAAGACACTTAACCAGTGTCTTTTACATTCCCAAAAACAAGGACGAATATGGGCAAATTAGGAACATTCTGAGCCAGTGACATGAAACAATACCAGAATTTATTTGCAGATTTAATTCTTTAGTTTTGTAAGAACATACTTGATGAGTTGTCTGATAACAACTGTAAAGAATACAAAGTGATTAATATTAATGAAGGGATGCAATTCTGGGATTTAAGGCCTGTCAGCATTTCCAAATATATCATTACAGAATCTAACAGGTATTTTGGTGAAAAAAGTCAAGGGTAGAAGTCCGAAAAGTCTGAGATCGAATAACTACATGTTTTATTATATGGAAAGTTTTATGAGCTGGTACAAAGTCCAGAAAGCTAAGCAAAAAAAAAAAAAAGTATCAATTTTATACTTGTAAATGATGTAATCAGAGTTATCAGATCTTAGGCAAATACACAGCTTCACAGTAGAAACTGGAAACCTAAACATATTATTAAAATAACCTTTCAGCAGCTTGATTCCAGAGGAGACATAAAGACTTTTGTGGAACAATCCGACTTCCCGTAGCATAAATCCGATAAATTACTTCATTGTTATCTTTCAAAGGGTGTGAACTCTGACCCTTCAAACTCATAGAAAAAACCTGAAACAACACATACAAAGTAAATACAAATTAAATATTAAAGTTCATCAGGCAGAGCTCATTTTAATAAAATAAACACAAACAAAAATGATAATGTTATTTTAAATACATTTAAGATGTATGTTAATACAATGTCAATTTCTTATCTAAATTAAACCAATTTCTTGAAAAAATAACTTGCGTTATCTTCAAACCTTGTTCTTCAGGGCAAGTTCTTTATCTCCAGTAAGGAACCACTGCTGACTGCTGTATTCTGTGAACTGTACAGATTTGCAGTTCTCTTCTTGAGGAGGTGATAAGACAACAGAGACTTCTAGTAAATGTTCAGGTACTTGAATAGAATCCCCATCTTTTCCATCAAACCTGTGTCCATTGATTTGCTGAGGAAACCAGTTGTGAGCCATTATTGCAATGTAAGGGCAGCTGTCAAGGATATTTTTACCTCTGTTGAAATGGAAAAGCAATAGAGCTGGTAAGAGGAATTGAGCATTCACTATTCTTCACAGAATGACTCTAAAATGTATTTGTAATTACTACTTCACTCCTCCATCATTTTTAGGCTTTATGACATTTGTTTCAGGTTCTGTGAAAAAACAGAGGGGCTGAATTATTACGTACTTCAGCTTCTCCCTTTCCCCTCCAGGTTTTGCTCACTATGATCTGCAGCCAAAAGACCTCCATGGCAAACCAGGTTATCATAATACTTACCTTTGTAACTTGATGTAGAGATGAATCTACAAGAAAGAGAGGCACTAAAGTGGGTGATGTTGCTGTACCTCTTAATCTCAACAGGTGATGTAAAAAACCTAAATAATTTGAACTTTCAAGTTCTGGACACTGTTTAGGATAGTGCTGATATTTATGCTATTTACTGGGATTTGGCTGAGATGGGCTACATGTCCCCTACAACTTAGGAAATGGCAAGAAAAGTTACATCTCCAAAAGAAGCTGAGATGATAGAAATCTAAACCATGCTGATTTTCTGAGGGGAAAAAAAAAAAAAAGGTATTTTTATTCTAAATTCAACTACCATTTTTTTAATAGATTCACAATAGGAGAAACCCACTGTTTAAAACCATCTGTCTCATAAAAGTGTCGTCTGTTTCTGCAGTCACTTATTTCCCATGCTCATTAGCCTGACCGCAGGGTATTATGCACCTGCAGACAAAACTAGACATTTGAATCTACATGTAAAAACTATGTGTAGCTTTCAAAAAGTTGTCAATAATGTTCGAGTGACCAAAACCAAGGACTAAGGAATTACAAAACGCCAGTAGAAATTTTGGGTTACTTACTCTCATCTAAGTCTTTGAACATAGCTCTCCATCATAGCTCTCTCCATCATGTTATTCTCTTGAATATGAATACTTTTCCAGGTAATACTTGAGCCAAAACTGAATGAATATATTCCAGATCTCCTGACTCCTTACCCCACAGCAAACCAGTATCACTGTACCAGTTATTTGTGACACCAGCTCATAGCGCCAATATAGTGCTTTGTAGGATTGTGACAGTGCAACACATTTTCACATAGGTAACATGCTGGAGGACAGACAAGTCCCTTTTTTTAAAAAATCATTTAAATTTTGACTACACTGCTAAGTTGTCACATACTGCCACAGCACAATATGAACTCAAGTTTACTGACCGTTCTCCTGGTGATCCACACATTACTCCAGTCAACAGGGAAAAAGCAAACTTCTCAGTCACCTCAGCAAGCAGGCTATACCCTCGCGTGTCCTCACGTTTCGGGCTAGCCAGAGCACAGAGTATCTCATAGAAAAGACTTCTGCTTTTAGCAGTGAGTAACTGTTTTTCACCCACGTCTGCAACCTAATGAGACGAGAAGAAATCAAGCAGCATTTTATGCAAAAAGTCTGCTTACAACATTTTTCTCATGTTCAGCAGATCAGTAAGACTTCCATTTTTACCCTAATGTTCTTTCTGCAGGTTCGGAGTATCTCTTCCACCTTCTGATTACTGCTGCCAAGGTGTGAGATGAAGTTTATAGCAGAACTACATAAAGATATGTTTACTAATAGGGATTTGATTTTTAAAGAAACCACATGGCATTTTTCATCCTTTCACAAATCAAAGATTAAGTCATGAGAATTTTTGACATTATTTTCTCTGTTTTCTGTGTCAAAATGGCAACAATCACAAATGAATGTCCATGAATACTGTTATACTGCTTTATGTCTAAATATTTAAAGATTTTCCAAATCCCATGCATTATTCCACAAGTCCAGAAGAGCCAGAAAACCACAATACTAGTCCCAGAGTTTTTGCAGAACTTAGTGCAATGCTGAAGTGCTCAGCTACCCTGCCAATTCCCAAAGCTACCGCAAGAAGAAAGACAAGCTGCATGCCTGGGTGAGGCACAGCACAGTCCAGCTGGCCCTGGGAGGATCTGCTTGTGTGTTGCCTGCAGCCACCTGTAGGGATAGGAGCAAACCTTGGGGCTCACTGTCTTGTACCAGGGCTAAAACCCACAAAGATGTGGCCTGAGAATCAAGTAACTGTAATAAGCTCTATGAAAGCAAAAGAGAAACTTTTGCACAGCAGAAAATCTTGAGCTATAGTTACGTACGCAAAATTAATACTGGTTGCTCTTTTCAACCTATTTGATTTTTGATTTTCCTGCCACCGTCCTAACTAATGGCAGACAAACTTCCTTGATTGTAGGACTTGGCATTTCCACTTTCACCTTCGCAGTCTGTGCCGCTGCATCACCGCTGTGGAAGCTAACCTTGATCTTATCACAAGCCTACGTGTTATTTTACTCTTATGAAAGGCACTGGTCATCCAAGAGAGGGCAGGAAGGGTTTACCTTATGTATTATATGGATCACAGCAGTAAGCTGCTCTTCTGTAGCTTCTGTAGCCACTCTGACATTCAGATTCTGGAGGACTCTGTGTAAAATGGTCTCATCAAGAGGCTGATGCAGTTGATCAATCATTCCCCAAACTGGCAAGGAGTCCAACTCTGAGACAATGGTGATGTTAGCAATACCATACACATCATCTACTCTGGCACCGCCCGAGGGATTGGAAAGTACAACCTGGAAACGCTTTGGAAATGGGTTTAAAGATCCTGTCTTTGGGGTAAGGGTCACATCCACAAACGTATTTCTCTGTCCAGGTTCAAAAGTCAATAAACCTTCAGATCTGGTAAAATCTTGTCCTGCCACAGCTGGAGATATGAAGGTCCGACCAATAGGCTCAGGTTTTTGTAGCTCCTTAAAACAAACCAAAAAAGTCACAGGTAACATTATGATAGATACAATTGTTCAAAACCAGCTGCTGTAGAACATACGCATTTAAAATGGGTAAAATGTAAATGTGTAAAAAAGAAGTCCTCTCAAAATGCAGTTAAAAATAACAATTCCATTAACTGAAATAACTCCCTGAAATAGCAATCTGTCACTTGTAGCCAGACAACCTAGGGGAGGAATTATATATACTGTCAATAGTAAACAGGATCCCTCTCTTTCTTTTCTTTTGAACAAAAATCACAAAGCTCCTCTAGGCGAATAGATATTATAGAAATTTTAGCGCATCCATAACGTGATTCTGGAGGGGTTGAGGTAAGCTTATGTCTGCAGCATGAAGTCCTTCTGTTCAGGGCACAGACAAGCTAAACAAAAGCAAAGCAAAGGCTTTGGAAATCTGTGCACATAGCAATACTAATTCATGATATTTTCAGTCCCAGTATATACAGTTAAAAGGAGAACAATGCATTTAGCTCCAAAGACAAAGTAAACAGTATAGAATACACATGCAAGGCAGACAGATGAACTTATCTAGAAATGCTATATGGCCTCATTTCCTGTGAAGCAGTGCAATTTTTACCTTCCATAAGGTTGGCAGCTACTCTTTCATTCCTCACATTCTTGCTCTTTTTGTCACTTGCCAAAAACTTGCTAATATAATAAACTGTCCTTAGGTAGAAACTAACATTCTAAGCTATTATTCAAATTTATGATTTTTCAACAGTATCTATTAATTTCATAAGTACAGGTTGAATACTGACTCTTAAGTAAAGGTCTCCTACTATAAACCCAAGAATTTTTATTTGTGGAATGCTAGAACTCTTTTGAAAACATTTAGCTTTAATTAGTAGAGTTTACTTACTCAATAGATCAAACATTTTTTGAGTTCACAGCAGAACTTGGTAACTCAGTGCACTCTGTATCTGTTTCAAAATTGCTATAAACCATGATCACATAATCTGTGCAAATTCCAGTGAGAAATTTCCTTTTGTTTATCCCTTCCAATTCCGAATTAGGAAACAGGGAAATAGGTGGTAATAAAAGCACCAGTGACAAGAACAATGTTTAAGAAAACTTTGTAGCAATGAGATACGCATCTGTTTCCAGTTAGAGCCTCACACTTCCTGTCTGCTGTGACCTCTTATTTTACAGGTCCAAATAGGACCAATACCTTGGTACTTGGCCATGCACCCTCAAAACCTAAAAATGTCCAAGGAAGGTTTTTTTAGGTAATATATACTTATATAAAAAATACATAATATAAATCTAAACAGATATGCAATTGCCCCCTATATTTTAGCCTAAATATACACTGCACAGTAGCAATTTCTCCTCCATTTAACAGCTAAATTATAATGAATATGAAAGAATGTGAAAATTTGTTACCACACAATCTAACTAAAACAGCGGCCACCTCCTGTAGAATAAATGCGTGGAAACACCGTGTGATCCTATGTAGTTAAAACATGCATGCAATGTAACAATAGAATGCAAAACCTTTTATTAAAAAGGGTGATCAAGTACACTGGTGACACAATGTTTTGTTCTAACTTAAGTAATGCTTTTAGGTATAAAATCTCACATATTCAAAGTAGATCAGGCTAAGCACTACTCCAATACAATGGCAAACTGAAAAGAATCCCTCTTGCAGCCTGTGCACTGATGTTAGAGTCACCACTGTAAGGCAGAGGAAGGAATTGTGTTTTTGTAGCTGTGTTACTTCTGCTAAAGGAGAATCTTCATCATCGGTCAATAGTAATGAGGCACTCATTTAGAGATAAAAGGGTCAACAGTTACAGGAGTCTGGTGTTCCAGCCGTACACATTGCAAAAATGAATAGCAGAACTGACTTAAACACAAGACCTTCCATCAGAACAATTTTCAAGTTTAGTACTTGAAGAACATGGAATAAAATTTGATGACAATACTCTTTCTCTTTTCCTAAGTCTGGTCTGTGCATTAATAAATTTGTGACATAAAAGAGCAAGTGTGTTGGTATCTGAATCTTGATAGTCATACCCATTATGATATAAAACTTAATTTCAGTATCACAAGAACCTTTGGAAAAAGAAAGAAAGAAATTTATTTAATGCCTAACTGACTGTAGTCTTTGAGGCCACTGGGAGGTACTATGAACAAAATCACTCGACAATGCAATGAAAATGCCTTTTTATTAATGGAAAACCAAAGCAGTTAGATCATATAGGTCCAGCAAAAGTTTGACTGTTTCCTAAAGAAATGCTAATTACAGTCATATTTACTTTAGAGAAAAAACCAATGATTTAATAACAAAAAGAAGTAAAAGAAGTAAAAGAATAATAGAAGCCTTACCTGCAGGCTGTAGCTAACCGTTGTGGTTACTGATGTACTAGAATCTCTAAGCACCTGCAGACTGATTAAAGTTGTCTTCTTATGAGCCACAGCAAAACGAGATCCCACAGCAAAATACACTAAACCACGAGGAGCATCACTTTCAAGGACTGTTATAAAAGCAAATCTGGCACTGTTGTTCAACGCAGCTCCTGTGCTTACAGCATACAGCTCAACAAAAAAGTATGTTTCAAATTCAGGTACCTGTAAATGAGAGATGATTTTCATACCACTATAAGATTTGCTAATTATTTCAGCACAAAAAAAATGTATAAAGTCTTTTATATGTGCAATGGATTACTAGTCCTTACCGCAAGCACGCTCTTGAAATGTGCAGTAAGGACAACAAAGTATACCCTAAAAATAACAATGCTGCAGCAGCACTACTGTGTCATGTGCAATCATGATACCTCAAGTTTTCACATGGAACTTTACTTCATTTCAGTGAAGCAGGTATTTATATGCTACATGTATTGTGGCTGTAAATGTGCTGGAAGTCATGATAGTAAACTCTTGAAAAGCTTCATTTTCCAGATTACAGTGTTATATAGCTGTACATTTTGTGAGGAATTTGCTCTTTCACTTTATTTTTGCCTTAAAAACAGGAATGTACACAATATATCCAAAATACCAAAGCCTGGAGATATATCTGGCACACTTTTGTGAGGCCTACTATGTAAGAAATCTTGTGTTAGTCTGGATATATAGGCTATGGAATTTTAGTGTTCATATGTGAAAGAACTAGTCCAGACAACTGCCATGGTTTCACCCCAGCCAGCAACTCTACCCCAGTCAAAACCAGCTACATTTCTACAAACTTACTGACTGTTTATTGAAAATAAGGTAACAATATTAAATTTCTATACAGCACGTTGCCCTATCTTCGATTCTGTAGCTACGATACAGACATAATGTGTTTAGAAATAGACATTTCATTACTGAGGTTCCAGAAATACTTGGAAATATATCATCTGAACATATTACATGCACTCATGAAGCAGCAAACTAGCAAAAAAAGTAGTACTTTACAAAACAATAGTGTTACAACTAAAAAGATGAGCATTGAAAACGATTATTAATTAGTAAACATAGCTTTTTGTTTCAGCTCTAGATTTTTGGAAATCCTACTTTAATTCTAGGAAAGTAGGACCCAGCTCTTAGCTAATGAAGTTAGTACAACCAACTTAAGTAAAACCTTTCAAAAGCTACAATATGTCATATCAATATGCCATAAAAGATGTAAAATATTTATTAAGTGTATTTATTACTTCATCATTTCATAATGTATTTGTTACTAATTTATAAGCTGTCTTATGGAATAAGAATTAGGAAATATTTGGGGGTTTAAATACCATATATTTTTAATTGACTTGTTGCTAAGTAATTTTTTTAATTCAATAAACTTGACTAATTGATGTCAGGCACAAACTTACTGGAATGCCACAGGGAACTTTAGCCATCCATTAGCACCTGTTAAGAGTGGCACACACTTGTGCTTCATGTGGTACAACTGCATGTCTGCAGCTGTTGCACTGCCGTCATTAAATAATGATATCGCTCCTTTGCACTAAAACAGGTTCAAAATCCCAGTTTACTCAGCGAAGCAGCCTGTGCCCCACTTACATACATATATTTTATTCATTGGCCCTGTAATTTAAAAAATAACCTCTGAAGATGAGGAAGGAAAATGGCCTTCTTGCTGAACTAAGAGAACGCACCCTATTCCCTAGTGGGACATCACGATTTCCCACATCCTATGTCTTGCATTATTTTCCAGAACGTAGTCAGAAAAGCCGTGGGAACCTTCTCATCTTGTCCTTTTCCACTGCCCAGACCTCAGCTTTGCCACTGGCCTGGCTGTTATGATAATTTCTTACAAATTTTCTAACTCTCCACTCTGAAAGAATGACAAACATTAATCCTTCCTTTACGGGACTGCTCTCATGACTAGGTGTTCACACACAAAAAATATTTTTTCCTTCTATTTTCAGTAAAAATGACTGAATGCTGTGCTTTGTGTTAATTCAATGACGCCTGCATTTCTGAGTGCCAGCTGGGCCTCTCAAGGCACTTAGGCTTAGGCATACCTAACTGACAAATGCCAAATGGCTTTAGTGGATGATGGCTGCTAAACTGAACTCGGCGACTCGCAAGCTGGTTGTGCACAGTGACAGATTTTTAGACACCCAGAGATCCTTATGCAGATTTATGACTGAGTTTTCACAGACCATTGTGCTAGATTTTGGCATGTAAAGTTATACACAAATTGCACTAAAAGGTTTTTGTTGAATGAGGTGTTATTACTTACAGGATGTGCTTCACATAAACTGCATAAGAACTGCCTTGATAGATGGAAAATTTACTGTGTGAAGGTTAAGAGTCCAGAATATGAATACACATCTCACTGAAATAACATCATTCTTTTTTTCTTATTGGTCTCTAAAAATCAGACATCTGCATCTTACTCTCCAAATTAAATACTCATCTCCTTCCTAAATTTTTAGCAGTTAAAATATCCTGGGCTGTATCCAGAGAAGCGTGGCCAGCAGCTCAAGGGAGGTGATTCTCACCCTCTACTCTGTTCTCCTGAGACCCCACCTGGAGTGCTGCATCCAGTTGTGGAACCCTAAACATCAGAAGGATATAGACCACTTGGAGCGAGTCCAGAGGAGGCCACGAAGATGCTCAGAGGGCTGGAGCACCTCTGCTATGGGGACAGGCTGAGAGAGTTGGGCTTGTTCAGCCTGGAGAAGAGAAGGCTCTGGGGAGACCTTATAGCACCTTCCAGTGCCTGAAGGGGCTACAAGGAAGCTGGGGGGGGACTTTTTACAAGGGCCTGTAGTGACAGTACAAGGGGTAATGGGTTTAAATTGGAAGCAGGTAGATTTAGACAGGACATCAGGAAGAAGTTCTTCCCGGAGGGTGTGGTGAGGCACTGGGACAGGTTGCCCAGAGAAGCTGTGGATGCCCCATCCCTGCAAGTGTTCAATGCCAGGCTGGATGAGGCTTTGAGCAACCTGGTCTAGTGCAAGGTGTCCCTGCCCATGGCAGGGGGGTTGAACTAGATGGTCTTTAAGGTCCCTTCCAACCCAAACCATTCTGTGATTCTATGATAATAGAGGTAGTACAAGCCTGTAAATAAACATGTGTGTGCAGAGGAACTGACCAGCTGCCAAATTACCACCTTCAAACCATGTCCTACACATCAGTTCCCCTGGATCAGAGGGGGGTTTCACCTTGATAAACTGCAATTCAATACCACAGTGCTGCACACAAATGAGCAATAATTACTTACATTATCAGGTTTTATTTCAATGGAGATGTTGCATGTTGTTTGACTGGCCATGCAGGTAGTGGCTCCTAGCACAGATACCAGTTCATTCTCCAAGTTCATGCCATCTTTCAGAAGGACAACAGCTGTTTTATTAAAGGTCACACGCCAAAAAATCTTCACATCTTCAAAAGCCCTATAAGGAAATCAAAAGACGTACTGAAGGAGAGCAGTATTGCTTTAGGAAACATAAACCACAGAGGTAAGATACATTTCATGTTATTAGCCAAAACTTATCACTAGGGAATAAACTGCTCTAAAAATAAATAAATAAATTAAAAAAAAAATAAATTAAATAAATTAAATAAACAGAAAATAAAATTCTCTGTTTTATTTAAATTCCTTCGTCTAAAACCTGTTTAGATTACCCAAAAGTAACACAGGAAGAAAACTAAGCAGATTCTTCTCATTATTTGTTTCAGAATACAGGAGATTAACTGATCAAGGGACATTTGGAAGACAGAGATAAGCCTGAGTACTTCCCTTAATACTGCAGTAACCATTTGCCTGGAAAGCCAGGGAGAATATGTCTTTTCTCTAAATTTAAGAAACTAAGAGTACTTCAGCATATTTGTTAAAAGTACACATAAATGTGGAACATTTATACGTGCTAATTAGAAAAAAACATAGTATCTGTGTGAGTGAAGACATAAGCATAGTAATGACACTTAGGTGTCTTCTTAACTGATCATTTTAGTATTTATACCTACATTTTATTACACACGGAGATGAGAACTTATATTACACCTTTACTAGTGCTAATACTTTACCTTAAGCAAACCTTTCACGCTTGCTGCCTGACAGTGTAAGTTGGAAAATACTTGTTTCTTCCATTTCTGCTTTATAACAGTACAGTGACAGACCTAATCACATTCACAACTTAAAAGCCTGTTTGCAAAGTTCTGGGAAGTTGTTAAAGGAGCTGAAAGGCAAAGATTTATTATAAAGCTCTACAATAACCTCTTCTACTAGCAGCAGCTTTTGTGATTCAACACAGCATATTACAGCATGTGGGAAGGGCAGTTGAGTCAGCTGTTGCCTGCACCTGTTTGGTTGCCTTGTGACAATCATCAGCACCTCTCTGTTTTCTGAGTCTTCATCAAGAACAAGACTGCTTTGTACATCTGGAGCGAATCCCAAAATGCCATTCTGGAGGTCACTTCCTATATAGGAAACAGTCCATGAAAGTAATTAGCAAGAAAGTTAAGATGAGACTAAATTATAATTTTAATGTGAATATCTGCTAAAAAAATTAAAACGAGGTAACAAAAGCATGCTGCAAAGCATGACTTGAGAAAGCCTCAACAAAATTTCTTCTTAATTTACAAACCATAATTATCTAGGCCTTCAAATGTTGGCATTTCTGTATTTTATTCTTACCAGCAGAATAAATATTTCTGAAATTAAATTCCTTATGAGAGTCGTGGCATCATCCATTCACATAAGTTTGTATTTTCAGTAGGATTCAGCAAACTGACTGAATTCTGTGTCCTCTGACTTCAAGAGATTAGGTGTTACAGTATTCCAGAAGAGTGTCAAAAACCCTGCTTATAATGCCCTTAGGAGATACTGGTTCAGCTATATTATTTTGTGTTTAACATAGCCCTTAAAATGTATTATTTCTAAACAGAAATGGGCCTCAGCATGCCCCTAGATAGACATGGTAGGTCATGGAATAAAGATGGGCTTCCAAGGAGAGCTTTTGTGTTCGTCAAACCCGTAATGTAGTTGAACACATTCATTTTCCTAAATTGTTACATCAGCTTTCCTCCTGGTCATTTAATTCAGTGTGTGGAACTAAGGAGCTGCAAAATACTGCATTGTTCTCATGGGAACATATGTAACTCCAGCAAAACTGCAGTGGAGGGAAAAAACAAAGAGTTAATGAGAAGAAATTAATGTCTTCATAGTGTCCCATTAAATCTTGCTTCTAGAGGATTTCTCGTTTACAGGTAGTGATGGCTTTACTCTGCAAATGGGAAGGAAACCTAGATGCAACACAGTGCATATTAAATGTCAATATAGCTAGAGAAGATTAACAGATATTGTGTGTTTACTTATGCACATGCACAAATACTTCACCTCTTTCCATCTGTACAGTTATACGCAGATACATGTTTTGACCCTTAAATTGTTTCCTGATCTTACTTAAGTACTCACTGTACACAGGGTATAACTCTAGATGTTAATATACTTCTACGGGATTCAATACGAGTCCAAATTCCAACCTGTGCCTGTGCACATACTTTGGTGAACTTGCATACACGGGCAGCTGGTTACTTGCATGGTGAATTCTGGAGATGGTGCACACGAAGGCAACATGTGGTTCAGATGACCTGCTCTTGCATAGAAAATTTTGGTTGCCGCATACACTCATGCAACAGCAAACCTGAACCCTGGTTCACAATATCTGCCTTGGTTTGTGTATCTAAATACACAAAACTTCCAGTGAATGTTGGATCTTACATATAATTGCCTTGATTAGCCTAAATTGTTCCAATTCCCAACTTGATCTATAACATGGTTAAATTTGCTTTATATTCAATTGGTAAGTCTGACAGATACCTACAAGCTAAGGGAAATTGGGGATCTGACACCACTTTTTCACAGCAGTGCACAGTGATTGAAAGGAAAATTCTTCCCTGGTGTTTATATGAGCCCATTCCTACGCTCCATCCCCAGAAGCAGAGGAGGAAGTTCTTCACAGAGAGGGTGGTGAGGCACTGGAACAGGTTGCCCAGAGAAGCTGTGGATGCCCCATCCCTGGAAGTGTTCAAGGCCAGGCTGGATGAGGCTTTGAGCAACCTGGTCTAGTGGAAGGTGTCTCTGCCCATGGCAGGGGGGTTGGAACTAGATGGTCCCTAAGGTCCCTTCCAACCCAAACCATTCTATGATTCGACAATTCTATGACTACACTGTGTACTATATGAACCGCGTGCTATCAAAGAATGAAAACAGAAACCATTAATTATGCTTTGCAGAAATCCCATACAATGTAAAAGTGACAAAATGGCAAAGTAAAACAAAAAAGCCTGCAATGTTCCTACACCTCCAAGAAAAAAACTCATGCTTAAGCCTTTTCCCTTCATAAAGTAAAACAGGACAAGAACCGAGATAAGCAGCATCTGTAAATGTATTTCGAGCTACATTGCTAAGGGATACATGGCAGGCTTGGTGTACTAGATGCTTCCACTGATCTGGAAAACTCAACATTTGGGAATATAATACCCTGCTTATTATCAAATAGAATTCCATTAAAATTGCTATAAGAACATACATCTATTTAGCATTATTTAATTCAGATGTATTTACTAGTTTTCTGGAGGGAAAAAAGTATTACCTGCAATAATTACTGTTGCAAAAGAAGCAAATCCATATTCATCCTTTCCTTCCACAATCTGAGCTCCACATTCAGGATTTGAGAGGAAAACATAAAACAATTCCTGCCCTTCGGGTTCATCATCATCAAAAATTTTTATGGACACCTTGCTTTCTTTTTCTCCATCCAGCAAAGTGAGAGTGACCAACTGTTCCTCAAAATCTTCTCCTTCCATTGCCCATGTGAAGTTTGATTTTCCATAAACATTTTTAAAAGGATATGAATCTACTCCACTCTGCGCACTCACTCCTCCGAAGGTTTTAATGGTTACTTCAATATCACCAGTAAAACCCTTGGTCCTTCTGATATGAAGTGTAACTGTGTTGGGGGTACTGTTGTTTGCATCTTCTTCAACATAAATAAACTCTGGCCCCAAGCTTAATATTCCATGAAGAATATCATTAGCGAGGATATTAACTGTTGCAACACTGAAATCTGGATTCAAACGCGGACCCCAGGCAGGATTCACAGGTTGAACATCCAAAATTTCCACAGTAGTCAAATTTACAAAAAAAAATTCCTCCACTTCAGACACAGCATCATCAATTATTGATATTTCTATCACAGCATTTGTCTGAAAACGTAAAAAAATAAGCTCTCCATTGTAGATGGGTATAAAATCCTCTAGTGGTTTGGCACTTCCTGGAATGGTCTGATATGTCAATTTAGTGAGATTACTTTGGAAACCAAACAATCTTTGGACTTGTAGTTTGACTGCCTGAACATCTTCTTCAATTGAAACAGATCTGGAGTTAAGAGCAAACTGGAAGATCCCCATAGGCTCAACTTCAGCTATCGTAAATCCTGATCTGGAACAGAAAAGATATCGAAGTTGAAGGAGGAAATATGATGTATGAAAACACCTAAGTTGAATAATTTCCAGTGAACAAGCAATGACAGCTGTAAGAAAGTGGATTAAAAAAAGTGTAAGAGTAGGGGGAAGAAATAGCAACCACATAAAGCAAGCTGTAAAGAGGTTCCCCGAAAAATGTTTTTGCCATGATTGGATTGAACAGCCTTCCAGAGATTGAGTGAGCACAGGATACAGAGTAGAAGATAAATAAAATGAAGTCTTTCTGAGAAAATGGAGAAGCAAAGGAACGTATGATGTCTTTCTATTGTGGACACAATGCAGGGAGATACATTACAATACAGCCACTCTTAAGTAGTATCAGTTTTAATCTCAGAACCAATTTCCTGTTCCAAGGGAAAATGTGGGGTAGACAGATGCTAGCAGATATACAGTTTTAGCCAGGAAGCTGGAAAAGGAAGGGAAGTTATTTTATAACTTACCGTGGGGCTTTTGAAATACTAACTGACCCCTCACAACTTTACCCATAGTATTTTTTTCCAGATCTGAGCCCTATTATCAATATCAATTTAAAATCTACTTTGTTCATATTAAATATATCCCCTTCGTATTAGAAAATAAGCACAGAGACTAAGACACTTTGGTAAACCTTGGGTCTCACACTTATCTCTAGAGTTGACCCATTACTCGGTGCTAGAGTGTCGTGGTTTCACTCCAGCCAGCAAAATA